GGTACAAAATAACATGTGCACCATATTTCGCGAAAGGCGCCTCTTTTATCTGAAAAACTGCGTCAGAATAATATTTTGTGACCCGATGCACGATTAGCATACTTATTATTTTTTTAATATCAACGAACACAAAGAAGATCATATGCAAAAGAAAGATACAAAATAGCGGAGGAAGAATACAAAAAATAATCATCATTAACGATCACTTCTAAATTCCATAATTTGTTTAAATTATCTAGGCAAAGGCCAAACACCTTGATCTTCGATTCATTCGCAGTAATTACCCTGTGTGCTGTGATGTTCATCATTCATTAAAAATATTATATGGTGTTTGTATGCATTCTTATGTGCTGTGATTTCTTTGCAGCAAGCTAAAATAATCGTAGCCACGATGATTCTCCCTGGACAGTATTATAATTTTATTTGTGGCCCTACGCAATTCTCTTCCTATGTTTTGGGGGTTTTCTGCAACAAAATTCTCTGTACAGCCAATTGTTTCTGGTCCCTTGAATTTAGTCGTATAGAGAGAGTCCAACAACCTTGTGAACGTTCACCACTAGCTGGAATATGAAATTTGATCACCACATCTCATGTATGAAGACTTTTTTCCGTTCAAATTTTCAATTGTAAAATAAATTATACAACAGGAGACATGGGCACCTGATGCATCCTACCTGATGAAGATGTCTTTTTCTTTCAAAATTCCCAACTCAGGTTTCTATTCATAACATGGATTATATTGCAATAAATACCATGACACACTAATAATATCCGCCCTGTGTTGTGAATTGTGATTGTGACTTGACGCGACGATTATTATTTTTTTCATCGATCTGGACCTGATTTGTACTCAGCAAAATTAAATTTAAGTTGAAAAATGCTGGTTTTTTTCAGAAATCGATCAATACTTGGGAGTCTTTTCGTGCCCTTAATAATTTCTAGAATATATTCCAAAAAAAATTTATAAATTATTTTTCAGGTCGGTGGATTCTTATGAGTTCAATTCTGATTCGCTATGGAAGCAAAAAACGAATGAAAAAGTCGCTTTCAAAAATCCCTTTGGACTTCTCAGGTTAAGAATATGATACTGTACGTGGATCGCCTGTTTCCAACCCGAACAGAAAATATACATTATCCCCGTCGAAATCCGCAAACTCATAATAGAATCATAATAACAAACTGTACTACAGTATACTCGTCAGCCTCACAACAGAAGCGACGGGCATGTGCTGTCTATAGTCGATGCGACCTTGAGCATCATGACTAGCAACTTTTTTTTTAATTTTTGCAACTCAACTATATTGAATTCAGTGCTGTATGGTTGATCACCTCGGCGGCATCCGTCGGATCATCGTGCCGTCATTCCGAAAAGTAACATTCTTCATTTTTCACCGTAACTGGAAAAAACATCCCCTTTTTCAGATGCTCAATTACAGGGAATTAGAAAGTGTAATTTGTGAGAAAATTCATTCGTGACGATTTTTCCTGGTTGGAAAATAAACGCACAACTTTTACCAGTCATGCAGTTGAAGCCTTGAAGGAATTCCGAGAGCAGTAATTTAATGAGATAAATATTCAATTACTTCTGGTACATATTGTATTTTTTTAACGTGCAGATGAAGACGAGAAAACTGAGTGTTGGGATAAAACGTTTTATACTGTTCTATGTGCAATCTCTCATGAATTTGAATCTATAAATAAATTCAATCGTGATCATATCAGTCTATTTGTAATTGATACTGAATGTGACGCTTTTTCCAAAATATAAACGATAACAGACCATGACGCCATGACCGCCATAATAAAAAGTTGAGCAAATTAGCCGAAGTTCTAAGGGTGATACCATAACGGTTTGCAACGTGAATACACAAATAAATTTATTTTACTGTACTGACAGAATTTTTGAACCATCTGTGTACAAATGTGAATTGATTGCAGGCCGGATTATTCGTCAGAATGGCCAATAAGTTTCGTAGTGTGTGAGTCAATGAATTCTCGACTGCAGATTCGCAATTGCGTAAACCAGGGTTCCTCAAACTTTTCTGGCTTGCTGACCGGCAAATTTCCATAAGATTTTTCGCAGACCGGTAAAGTTTCATGAAATTTTGGCGGACTTGAAACGTTTTCTTTTAAAGAATTTATGACAGGCATTTGAAAAGTCTCTGCTTTTTGCAAAAATTGAGTCACGGACCAGCAAGGAAGCACAGCTATATATTAGTCTTTAAAAAAAAGTAGAAACATGTGGTTAAAGATGAAAGGTTTCTTAGAATGAAAAAAATTAGAAATATTGATTCGAGTATAGGTGAAAATTTTTTTGAAGCATAATTAGGAGAAAACCCAACTTTTATCTTTCATCAGATAATTTCAATCTCCATTGTCTTTCTGAAATTTCAAATAAATATAATAGACTTCATTACTACCTTTGAATAATGTATTATGTTGAATAAATTTTCCTGCGGCCTGGCAAAAAACTTCTGCGGACCGGCGATGGCCCGCGGACCACGCGTGTCCACAACCTTGAAAATTTTCCATTATTTGATAACTGGAACGAGATTCGAATATTTTCAAGCTAGACGAGGAAAGAGGCAATATAGTGGATTAAATTCAGGGTCAAATCCGACTCGAGAGAAGTGTATAAAATTAACATATATTATCTAGTGACTATAGATATAACCGCTTGACTTTAAGGCAGGTCCAAACATTTCTAGATTCCAATACTCTGATTAAACAAACTATTTCTCGCCATTCTCTCATTTTTCATGTGGTTGTGTCGGACGGCGGTTTGTCATGCTTTTTTTATTATTTAACCAAACCGAAGATGATTGCGTGAAAAAAAGATCTTGATCTGATGACAGGTTTTCTAGAAAATAAAATGTTGTTCCTCCTCTGGATATTGCTGGTGCTTCCTTTTTCGGCTTGGGTAGTTCGAAAACTCTCGCAAGTTGTGAGGCATCCAATTTTCACGAGGAAAAATCTGACAAATAATCGACCAATCGTTCTAGATCGAAGAAAACGTAACGAAATATTGGCCAATTGTGAGTATCATTAAATGAATACCCTCACTTTGAAAAAAAAAAACAAATCATCAGAAATTTTATTCCAGCATTTTCTCCGCAAAAAGTTGAGGGACAGCAATTTGATGCTATAATAATCGGAAGTGGTCCTTCTGGAATGTCGACCGGATCTTATTTGGCGAAAGGTGGAAAAAAGGTGCTCGTTTTAGAACAACATGACACAGTGAGTCTTCTCCATTTCGGAATTTCACTAATATTTCCTTCGATTTGTCATTCAAGTGCGACGAAATTCCAATGGAGCCGTTTTTTTTTTTTTTTTTTCAGGCTGGAGGGTCATGTCACACTTTTTTAGACAAAGGCTACGAATTTGACGCTGGTCATCATTATTCTCCCTACATGGATCCGAAAATACCGACCAGTGTGTTCATTCACGCGGCAGTAGGCGGAAATATCGATTTCATTCAGCTGATGGGTACGAAAACGATTTCTATGGCACTGATAGTCGAGGACGAGAATTTTGAAATTCCTAGCATAATCTTTAAAGTGAATCAGAACTTCTTGGAAACATCATTTAAAGGACTTTTATCGTCAAATTCACGAGCTAATCAACGTAAGCAAGTTTTTAAAAGAATAAACATGCATGCATCAGGAGGGCGAAATTTCGATTTTATAATTAAATCAACGAATCGGAAAAAAAGGAAATGGCATCACTATAGTAAAGTTTTGGAAAGCAAGTCATCTTCAATTTTAGAATCGATCGATACCCAAGAAAAATCACGATTTCCTTTCTAACCTTTATTGGGCAGTGTACCATGATTGGACAAAAAAAAGATTATACGACTTGAATATTCAAAAAAGAATATATAGTTTTCCTTGTTGCATCACTCAGATTCGGAAAAACACAACGAGGAAGTANTACTTTGGTTACGCTCTCGGCGACAAAAAGAGAAGCTATTTCTATACACCCGGAAGCACCCAGACATGGAAAACGGAGATGGAAAAGCAATTCCCACAAGAGAAAGATTCAATAAACAAGTTTGACCCACTCCAAAAATCTTGCTAAAAGAAGGTGGTAATGTATAAACAACATTATTCAACAGATTGGCTGTGGATGTCAGACTGGGGTATCTCAAGTTTGCCCCGTTCATCCTTTTCCGCCTAATTCCAAAGTGGTTCGCGGAGTTCCTCCTACGGACTAAGTTGATTGATTTAATAACAGGATACAGAAAGGAGAACCAAATCACCACCAGCGAGGCTTTCAAAGTGAGTAATTGAATTCGCGACTTTAAGAATAAACCCGTTGCATGATGAAGGGTGTAATTTCTATAGAGCATCACGGAAAGAAGTCCGGACATGAGTGTGGTTCTTCAGTTTCTGACGACGGATCTCACCCCTGGAAATCTCTGGTCATATCCACTCTGGGCTTTTGCAACAGCAATTATGAAAGGAGGTAATATCATTCATCAACTCCTGTAATCGATATCTTCACCAATAATACTTCACGATTCAACCAAATCAATAAGTCTCTTGCTTAAAGCAAAAAAAAAATTTTCAAGTGCCCATGAAGCGTAATGAAATTACGAATGGATACACGGTTCCACTTGGATCAGCTTGTTGCTGCTTTTCTGTGTTGGAGAACTTCAGAATTTAAAAACTGAGCATTTCAAGTCCTGTAACGTGGATCAAAGGGGCTGAGAAATGTGTAAAAATCGGTAGAGATTTCATTGAGAAGGTTTTTGCCTACCCTGTTGAGACTAAAGAACATGTTTTTGAAAATCCCCTATTTTCAGATAATTTCAAGTCCGCGCAGAAACGTGTAACCCCTTATATTCTGTGTTTCGGGAATCACATTGTCCTTAAAATTGCAGGACTTCATTTTATTTTGGGATCGACTAAACGCTTTGGGATATTTTCCTGTATCACTAAATTATTTTATCAATCGCTTTTGGCTATGAAGCGAATTAAATTTATGTTCTGAAATTAATGTCCAGACATGTTTGAAACTGAAACTTAGATGATCACTTCATGTCAATCATTTGTTTTGAAAATATTTCTGCAGGAAGCGCATACCCAAAAGGTGGATCCTCCGAATATCCGTTCCAAATGGGCTGTGAAATAGTTGAACGAGGAGGGACAGTACTCGTTAATGCGAATGTGGAAAAAATAATTATGAATTCCTCCAATACAAAGGCCTGTGGAGTGATCGTGAAGAAAGGCAACAAACGAACCAGTATTTTTGCACCTATCATTGTTTCATCTGCAGGTGAGAAAAAAACCTTTAGGTTTACAATTTAAAAAAAAAAAAATGCTGCGAACAAAGGTTCAAAAAGTTCACCTTGTCCAGTTCTTGAACTACTCGAAAAAGCCTAATTTTGCTCTTCCAATAAATTTAATTCAAGGAGAATTTTCCAGTTATTACCGAACGCAATTCCCGGACAATTCTGAAATTGCGTGAATTTTTACTTCCAATAATTTTTCATAATTCATGTAGGGATACGGTAAGTAAAAATCGCGGAAACATGGTTAAATTGAATAAAGAAGCATGCTTGTCGACAGCAGGAATTCCGCTGGTGCCACTGATTGGTTTTTGCTTTCAGGGTTGGCAGTGACAATAAATGACTTGCTTCCTTCAAATATTCCAAAAAATTCACCGTGGTTCGAGGAAATGAACAAACATTTGAAATTTCCGGGTCATTCGTATTTTCACGCCTTCGTGGGTCTTCGCGGTACAGTAGAAGAACTTGGTTTGATCACCCACCCATTGAGAAGTTTTGCGACGAACGAGCCCGTCGAGAAAGCAAGTTTGAAAGAAGCGATGATGAAAACCCTATTCCTTTTGCCTTAATTGGTTGATTTCTAGATGATGGAAAGATGTGAGGAAATGTCTTTCGAAGAAGCAATGGAAGCTGAGATCCCGATGATGATGTTCCTGGGCTGCAGTGGTGCTGATCCAACGAGCAGCTTAAGGAATCCCGGTAATAAGAATATCATTTGTATCTTTATTTTTATTTTCAACAATACTTTCTGATTTTTATTTTCAGGGAAATGTGTCGTTCAATTGCTGATGTGCGCAAGCAGCAAGTGGTTTTCTCAATGGGAAGGAGGGAAACCAATGCATCGCGATGATGAATATGAAGCTCGGAAAAATGCATACGGTCATAAAGCAATTGAAACAATGTACAGACTGTATCCACAATTGGAGGTCAGTACATTTTTTTTTCAAAAAGGAACATTCAAGGAATTTCATTCATGAAATTTATTCTGATGAGCTGGAGAACGCGAGTTATTTTCTGTACTTTGATTTGGATGAACATAGAAATCACAAAAAGCGTGTAGGTAATAAATTAATTTTGGGAATTCCGATCTTCAAACAGCCATAATTATTTGAATATTGAATGTGCTAATCTGAAAATATTGGCGCTCATTGAAATAAAGCCCTTCCCCCTCGCACTTATAAAAAAAAACGTTGTCAGCATAGCAACTGCACCCCAAAAAGTTTGAAGCCTTTTCCATGTTCCACAGACGAAATCTTAATGGTTTGAGAAATTATCTTGTTTTTTTCTCCTACCTCATGTTCATAATACAATAATCGTTTTACTACATGGGGATAACAATCAATGGGTCTTTTCACGATCGGTGTGTGGGTACTATTGTATGCTTTACAGTGTGGATAACTGAGCAAAAATCAAAAAATTATTTACAAACCAATTCCTGAACTACCACTTTTGTTGGCCAATCGATAGAGTGATGTTCTCGCAACTTTCACTGAAAATACCATACATTTAGAAAATATCCATCAACCTTTTTTAAATTATGTTTATGGTTTACAGGGTCGAATTGATTATCTGAGCTTCGCAACGGAAGTAACTGTTCACCACTACTTGAACAGAAAATCAGGAGGATACTCAAAACTTGCACTCACCCCTTACAAGATGTCTTTAGAAGCATCATTAAACTTGAGACCTGACACACCAATCGAAGGTTTGAGAAAAAGCTCAGAAGAATCACGAAACATATATTATTTGCATTCGAGAATTGCTGTCCCTCGTGACTTCTTCTTTTTCAATTACAGGGTTGTTCCTGACCGGCGAAGATACATTCATAGTAGCAGTCATAACAGCCATCTTATCTGGGACTATAACGGCTTCGAGAATTCTCAATAGGAATTTGATTTTAGAAGGATTGGTTTGGCATTTTTATGATAAATTACGGAGGCGCATATTCGGAGATTACTCGTCACAGTTACCGAATAAGGGCGAACCTCATTCGTAACACGTTTTTTACGCAGGAAATCTAATGATGAATTCACGAATGGTGATGGAACGATTTATTATGTGGTGTACATTCAGCCCAATTTGCGAAAGGCTTAGTTTTCTACGTGATTCGGAATGGTACCTCAATTCCTCGAGATCATGCAATGTTATTTCAGGGGTATCGCAATTTGTTTTTTATTATTTTTCTAGCATAGCTGTTAGTCTGTTATTATGAAGTCACGCGTGTCTCATGAAGGGTGGAAAAGGGTCGATTTAGCTTCGAGAATTGATACGCTGATTCGAGGCTGTTAAAATATTCATCAGTCGAGGGAATTCTATTGATTGAAGTCCACGGTGAACATCAAACGAGTTGAATGACTAACTCAGGAAATACGATCAACTTTACTGGAAAATCAAATTGGTTTGAGGATGACTCAGTTATTGACTGATTCGTGAAGCAAACGAAGTACAAAAAACACTAGCCTTTGTATTGAAATGAGGTACGATAAAATGTATTCAAGAAAGTTATCATCAGGGGAAATGAGCCAATTTTCCGAAACTACCTAATTGATTTCACAAGGCTCTGTTATTCAGATTCCTTGCTTCAGTGATCGGCATAAAATTGCAGGATGATTTATTCTTCAAATGACTGCAAGAGGAAGATTCAGAATGAAGTATACATATTTTAATTCAAACCATCAGTTTCATGTTCCAATGCATGATTTCCAAATTATTTTTCCTTACATTTGGAACTTGCTTGTTTTACAGGATATTTTCAATTAAGCTTATGTCTTATGTGCGAAGGCAAAAGAACAGCTGAGCTTTCGAATTCAAGTGTACAATTGAAGGAGGGCTGAATTCCACGGCCTTGTCTTTCTGGTGTTATAAAGTGAGATGATTCAATAAAATGCAGTTCTCATCTTATTCCAATTCATGTCTCTATTTAAAAAAAAAGTCATTTAGTGACTGACAAAGATTATTGCGCGAAGAAATTGTCGTAAATGTTCTACCATCGTTCGAAAGAGAATTCATCAATCAAAACAGGAATTGCATTTCATTATATTCAATTTCCAACGTAACAGTCTTTCAAATTGTTCATTATTTGAATCCCTCCGTCAGCTATTTTTCAATTGAAAATTTCGTTTACCACCTATAGCAAAGGCTCCATTAGGTGTCCCCTCTAAATTAGAAAATCAACCAAGTCAGAAGGACAATTAAACTGGAGTTTGCCTCCCTTTCTTTTTCTTCTTTTGTAGGCAAAATCCGGCACGAAGATTCAAATGCGGGAACACTATTACATTTTCGTGGTATAGAGACTATACGATGGTAGACCATCGTAGCTCCTGAAAGACAAGATGGGCAATAAAATCACGACTTTGATGGTTCGTCTGCGTCTGCTAAGCAGAAGAACCGCGAGAAGGAAAAAATGAAAATAAAAGGGATACTATGCTAGAGCCCATTTCGATTCTCCCTCGTCGTCGTTTTCTTTTGTCAAACGGGTGCTGTGGGGGGTGGCGGGTGGGTGACGTGGATGTGGACCCCGGGCACCACCGGGATTGGGTTCGGGGGGTTCGGCGGCGTGCCGACGGCCGAACTCCCCCGCGGGTTGCAGCAATGAATCACGGCGGATGAAATTGTATCCTGGACACGCTTCTTTTCTTCCAGCTCTCACATTCCCGTCTTTTTCCAGACCATCTAAAAATTCTTCCTCGTGTGCTAAAAATAGCAGCACACGGAACGCTACGTAGACGCTTGAATCTGGGGCAGTCTCAAAAGTTCCGAAACGACGCGAAAATTATGATTTTGAGTTGTGAGGAAATTTATTCAAAACGCATCTTGAATCATTTTTCGGAAAAGCTTACGAACCGAAAAAAAGGTTCAAAATTTTCTGCGAGATTTCGAGGGAGGTTGTTTCAGTTGATGTTTCAGTCGGTTTAAATATGTCTTGAAAATATTCAGCACAGCTTTGGCACTAGAATGCGGAGATGTTTACATCTTCCTGCGTTTCTTTTCGAGGCCATTCTATCCATCTTTTAATTGAAAAGTAAATTTTACGCGACGTAAAAAATACTTTTATGCTGGCAATGAGAGATGTATTTATAAATGCCCGTCAACTCGCCCACATTGTTTTCCCCGGGAAATTTCTGTCAAAAGAAGTACAAAAATGACGGAAGAATTAGTGCAATAATTTGCCAAGAAATAAAAGCTAGCGTCTATTTTCAGGGTACCTCCATCCGGTTCAAAACTGTGGCGGGACATTTCCAGAACATATCTTCCATTTTTGAGAACCATTTGACAATTAAGACAAAAACAAAGAGTGACAATGTGTGGGTGGAAACAGATCGAGGTAAAGCATTTTTTGAAGTGGGTTAGATTAAGGACACAATAAAAGGAGAGAAAAAGGATTGAGTACAATTTGTGAGCCTTTTGTATGATGGCTGATTGATTGCTGTCAACGGCACTTCACTTGATTCAAAATTAGGCTGGATTTTCTGATATACAAATTATTTACATTATTAATACTCAGATTTAACTGAGACACCTTTAATATTACCGAATTTTCGAGATTATAAGCCAAGATTCTGTCTAGTAAATGTGGTTCATACTCGCAGTATTTTGTTTTATGCTTTCATGGGCCAACATTTCTTTTTCAAAATTAACAATTATCTTGCGGCCTAAACAGGCTGTTTCCCTCAACCGACTGCCCAAAATTATGATGAAATCCAAAATTTCGCGAAAATTCTCGCATGCAAAAATGCCATTCAGTGACGGATTAAAAAAAAAATTCCCAGCTCATGGAAAATTTAGCAGAGAATGTTCCCAACTTTCGAAGAGATCCATTCCTTCGTTTTGAGGCCCTGAGTGATGCTGTGCACAATTCCGTGCATGCTCCATCTACTCAGAGTCATGACACGTTGCAGCTACATTCGCCCTAATCGTCCCTGGCTAAAATACCGCAGCTCTTGGCATTATTCGCGCAAGAGACGAACGAGAATCGCGAATCTCTTGGACATCGTTTTCCCCCCTCTCTTTGTCCCTTTTGATCTCACTGTACAATATGTAGAAAAGAAAAAGAATCGTGTGAACCAGAGGCAGTCAAACTCCGACTAAAACCCGTCATTTCCTGAAACAGTTCGATCGTCAACTGGAAAATATCAAAAACGAGAAAAAATCTCAAAGAATATTCCAATTCAGAGCAGTACTTGAAATACTCAATGCCCCGATTTTCACCGAAGTCCTTCGAAGAGTGGAAAAATTGAAGCATTTACGAAATGCTGATGTCAAAACGGTGGGCCGAATCGACTTCGCCATATGTAAAAAGAAAAATAATCATGTGACCAGAAGCAGTCAAACGCTGACTGAATCCCGTCAGACCCTGAAATTGGAAAGTATCGCAAAAGATGAAAATGCCGAGGAATATTCCAATCCAGCACCGAAATTGAAATATTCAATTCGTAAAATTTCCCTGGAGTCCCTCAAAGAGTAGAATAAGTACAAAGATTTTACAAAATACTTCTGCTAAAATGCTTGCCGAAGGTATATTTGACTTCACCATTTACAATTGAACATTTTGTTTTTGATTGTGTGTGTGTGTTTGTCGTTCTTTCGGAAACTAACGAAGGTGGTCAAACTTTGAATGAAACCCGTAATATCACAAAACATTTTGATTTTCAACTGCCAAGTATCGCCCAAGAAAAAAGCACAAGAATACCCCAGTATTTGAAGAACTGCATTCAATTCACTGAAGTTCTCCAAAGTCCTTTAAATAGTAGAAAAATTACGAAGCTATCATTTAATTTCCATTTTAAAAAGTGGGTCAAAAATCTTCGCCATGGACACGTATAAATTCATGCGTTCTTGAAAAAAAAGGTGTGCGGAATGATTTTTGTTAAAAAGGACGCCATCATCGTCGAAGGACAAATCAAAATAAAATAAAACTGTCCCAATCCTGTGCACTTATCATCGTAAACATGTTTCCGAAAGCTTTCGGATTTTAAAAAATTCTTTGATCAAAAGTGCGCGAAAATGGGAACAGAAATCTACGCGATTCTTTATTACTATTATGTTTTTGCAAAATGAAGAATTTACGACATGTGGGGTTGGATTGAATTGCAAGAAGAACTCCCATCACACATGCGATAAGGTTTGCAGATCCCAGACGGATTCCGGGGATCTCTGTAGAGAAAAAAAAATCTCAGGGAGAGTCGTTCTCGAGATATATCTCCCTGGTGGCCGGTCGGAAGTTAGAAAGCAAGTTCTACTTGAGCCGCACTTCCGGTGTCAGGTTTTATTTATCCGCTTGTGGGAGATGCATGGGCAGCTCGGATCATCGTCGGATTTCATCCGCAGTGCAAGCGAGAATTATATCTGCCTCAGCTTCTTATTCCTCCGCACTTTCTCGAGAAGAAGTGATGGTGGGGAGAAGTTCATTCATCTTTTGGCAGAGTTTCTTTCCGCAGTGGAGGAGAGGGCCGTAGGAAACTCACTCAGCTTTTGGCTGAGTTTATCATATTTTTGGATCTGGGGTGGAGAAATGAGCGCCAAGCCCGACTGAGTGCTGTCGAACTGCGCGCCGGGGACAAATGAGCGCTACACACGCGAGAGTAGCCTTAATAATAAGCCGTGTGTGCCATTAGTCCATTACTAGAGATCAACAAATAAAAACGTCTCGTGCAAAAGAAAAAACAGCAACAAATGGGACCCTTTTTTCGTGCACTTGAACTCTGGTATTCCCTGCGAGGTATTGGGTTTCGTTTGCGAACCCCTTCCCCTTTTCTCGAAGGCACACGCATCTTGACTTGCAATGAATCGTTATTGCTACTACACCTCTCAAAAGGTCTCAACTGGCAATAAAGTGCTATTGCTTCCATACAAAATCATTCGGCAATCCCACCAAAAATAATGTTTAAGTGAAAGAAATTGGTAGATTTTCGAGAGCTCAAAAGGAAAAGAATGATATTTATAAGCTTTTCTTCCTTCAATATTTTCAGAGACGCTCACCTGAACGCCTTTGTTTTATTTATTTTTCTACCGACGCAAATATTCATAACATTGTTTGCTGTTGTATGAGTGCTTAGACTTGCTCGAAGAAGAATTGCTGGTTTAGTGATGAATTCAGAAATTAATTTTTATATGTACTAGCTCTATAAATATCTGGATTGAGGTCAAAGAGTTTGAGATGCGCACGATATTTTAATTTTCATAGACTTGCTCGAAGAAGAATTGCTGGTTTAGTGATGAATTCAGAAATTAATTTTTATATGTACTAGCTCTATAAATATCTGGATTGAGGTCAAAGAGTTTGAGATGCGCACGATATTTTAATTTTCAAGCTGCGTATCCAACTTCTAATTGAGTTGGAACGTTTCGTTAAAATGTTAAAGTTCAGGAAATGTAAAATGCCTTCCAACTTTCCTTTACATAACTTGAACGAAATCTGCAAAGACAATCTACAGGGGAAATTGTTGGATGGTGGCCGAATGATCACGTGCTCATCTGCTTTTCAAAAGATCAAGAAACTTGATGCCTTTGGAAATGGTCGAAAAGAGAAGGCATTACTAATATATTGAAGAATAATTCAGAAGAGAAGAAGGAAAAGTCGGATAAATATATTTCATTTTTGTAACTGCCGAATGCGAAACTTGCTTCTATTTTATGGCGGCAGTTTCCGGTAAAATGTGACACATTTGGACAAATGTAGAGAATTTGCAACGACGTAATTTCATGGATGAGATCAAGAAAATATCTCAAGAATATCTCACGAGAGCATGAATCCTTCTTTGCTCAACGGCATTTCGAAAGATCAATGCATCTTCGACGGTCGATCGACTTCCTACATTTCCCATGTTGAGTGCTCTTTCCTTTTGTGCACTGAATTTTAGCAACGTATGCTGAAGAGAGCCGTGAAACGCAAAAAAATGTGTGCCTTAATTTCGAAGAAAAAAGCGAAAAATGACATTCACAGCATGGTGCAAATTTATT